TGGGAGGGGAAAATAATCAAGATGTTCAAGCAAAATTTTCAAAAAAATTTTTAGCTATCTATCTATCTATCTATCTTGCTATATAGATATAAAATCAGCTGTTTATTCAAATTTCTTTTATTAAATCCATTACTTAACTTTACGATTCAGAAACGAAGTTTAAAAACTTTTTAAAAAGATTAAAATTTACACATTTTGACGCATGAATTAATTAACATAAAGGAAATACATAAGAAATTTTTAATTGACAAATACATTTGTTCATTAACATACAATTTGGATTGGTATTCAGAAACGTTTCAAATACAGTTCTAAAACATTATGTAATGTTACGTTTCATGTATCGTTACAGAAATGGTACAGAAACAAAACAGAAAACAAAATTTGGTAAGAAACGTAATATGGTTTCTCGGGGCCTGATAGTTACCTTTGATATTTAAACTTAAATTAGTTTATTTTGTAAGAAGTATAGGATTTCATAAAATAAGGCAGTGGATTTGTGACATTTTTAAATACATCTGATATGTTATTTTGGGCAAATTCCTTAAATTTCAAATTGTTCCCAAGCTTCCCTGTTGGACTGCAATATAGATAGATAAATCTTAGACATCAAACTGCAACGTAGGTCTCCGACAAGCTTCTTATAGTCTAAAAATATCTACTTGACAACTTCTCTGTCGGAAAAAGTTTTCGGAGCTCCAACTGTTTATGTCAAAACATAGGCATAGTCAAGAATGTAATGCAAGGAAAGTTAATTGCGGTCGCATATACTCTACATACATATTGAAACCAGTTCTCTCTGGGCGGAATTTGTAAACAAGAATAGATGCATCAGTGTTTGTTTAGTATCCGGGGAGTTTAAAAGCATTAAATTTTGAAAATTTTGATAATTCATATAATAGTTTCCTATGACCAGAATATTTCATTGATTTTTTTATGTAAAAGATGGATCCCATGTCAGGCTTAGACATCAGTCTTGTGTTTACATTACCGCCCAGAGACAGTAGTACAAAAGATACATACACTTCTGAAATAACTTTCCTTTCATTACATCCTTGGGCGTAGTAGTCTGTTGGAGCTTTGATCTATGTTCAACAAAGGCATACATGGTTGTTGGGAGGCTTAAGTTTATAAAGGTAACATTTGAAAGCTCACTTTGTCTTAATTTTCATTTTGAGATGCCATATTGGATTGAAGTGTTACGACAGTTGGGTTTGCGTCTGCATAGAAGCGACGCCCCAGAAATAAAAGAGTCGTCTTTGATAAAAATATTTTTTTGAATTTGTTTATAGTCAAAATATTCTTAAATTTAAAAATAATGAATGCTTCATAATCCAGAAAAAAAATTTTATGTGTCAAGAATACAAAATATTAAATAAAGTTGAATGTATGTGTATTTGGTTTAGTAATTGCTTTAAAAAAACTTTAGATAAATTTGAATATTAAAAGAATGTATATTTTGGAAGAAATTATTAAGTATTATTTACTAAAAAATTGAATGGTATATTTAAAAATAAAATTTCAATGTCTCAATTAAAAGAGAGGAATGCCTATGACCTGTTAAGATGATAAGTTTAAAGTAGGGGAGGTAGGTAAATGAAACCGTATTACTAATAATCCTTTGTCCCTATTCCTGCTTTGGGGAGGGGGTAATTAATTAAATTTAGAGACTTTTCCTAAATATATTTTCCTATATTTTTGGAAAACTGACTGAATATTTTTTTAATGCCATTAAGAGTTGTCCAATCTTAATGATCAATAGGTTTGGAGGAATCTGAAATCCAGGAGCTTAATAATCTTTAAAATTTTCCCTCTTTTTGCAAACACACTACAACTATTAGTTGTTTTATTCAATCAATACAGAAAGTTACCTAGAAAAGTTTCAATCAGTTTTACAACTTATTTCTCACAGTTTTGCAACCTGTATTTTTTACCAGGTGTTAGCCCTAGCCTTGGGCATTTGAATTAGGAAGCTCCAATTTTTCTGGCTTTTTTAATAGAACATTCTCCTTATTTAAGGCTGAAAGCTGAGCATGTATACCAACATACTGCCTAAATGCCTTATTTTACCTTTGCCATACTACATCTATATTTAGACCTACTTCAAGTCATTGGATTTCAACATTTTATAGCTCTTTCAACAGCAAAGAAATTGCACAATTTTTGCAAAGAAATTTTGCACAGATTTTTGCACAGACACCTTTATTGGAAATTTGCACATTTTTAGTTTTTCTTGAATACACATTTAGGTTTTACAATTTTGCAAATATTTTTGCAAATTTGAATTCACTGGATCAAGGGTTTCTCAAAAATGTATAATCTGTTGCTATTTGCCCAATTTTTGTTTGCACTTTTTTTTGCTTAATAACTAGATTTTGCAAAAAATATTAGGATTTTTGCAAATATGCTTTTTTTTGCATTTTTTTGAGTGGATTCCAAGAGCTTTCAAAAAAATTATCAAATGTTAAAGATTTTAT